TTCAGGCATGGAAAGCCAAGACACTGTGGCAAAAAAAAATGTCCTATATGAAGGACTTTGGCAGGTGAGACCCTAGTGGAAAGAAGTGGACATAAGGAGGAATTTTTCTCTGAAGCGAGGAGAGTACTTCAACTTTGTTTACGGCCTTGGCTACAGATTGACAGAGACTGTGGATTCAAAAGGCTTCCACAGCCTAGGCAGCTCATGTCAAGAGCCTTGGGTGGTCACTGACATCATACTTAAGAGTGTTAATTGTTACGTTAATAACAGGAGTCACTGTGTACTAACTTCCCATGCAGGATCTCTATCCTCAAAGAGTTGTATTATAATTATGTCTAAGTGCTTGCAAAAGATGTATCATTTTTAGATGCTTCTTTGAAGTTTAATTTCACTTTTTAAAAACATTTCAAGATGCAATGATTTTGAACAGCCCTTTTCTCAGTTGTTGAGGAGCAGTTTTTTTTTTTTTTTCCATGCAAATCGTTGAACTTTTTTAATTTTTTTTTTTTTTGACAGGCAGAGTGGACAGTGAGACAGAGAGAAAAGTCTTCCTTTGCTGTTGGTTCACCCTCCAATGGCCACCGCGGCCGGCGCGCTGCGGCCGGCACACCATGCTGATCCGAAGCCAGGAGCCAGGTGCTTCTCCTGGTCTCCCATGAGGGTGCAGGGCCCAAGCACTTGGGCCATCCTCCACTGCCTTCCTGGGCCACAGCAGAGAGCTGGACTGGAAGAGGGGCAACCGGGACAGAATCCGGCGCCCTGACCGGGACTAGAACCTGGTGTGCCGGCGCCACAGGCAGAGGATTAGCCTATTGAGCTGCAGCACCGGCCAAATTATTGAACTCTTGTATAGAGTTGGTCTTCTGTGTATAAAGTTAACTGAAAATCGATCTTAGTGGAGGATGGGACTGGGAATGGGAGAGGGAGCAGGAGGAGGGGTGGGAGAGTGGGTGAGAGAGCAGGTATGGTGAGAAGAATCACTATATTTCTAAAATTGTACTTATAAAATGCATGAAGTCTGTATTCCTTAAAAGGTTTCTTTGAGGGGGGGGAATAATAGTGGGAATTGGAGAGGGAAGAGGTAGACGGTGGGAGAGCAGGTACAGTGAGAAGAATCACTATGTTCCTAAAGTTGTAATTATGAAATGCATGACATTTGTATTCATTAAATAAAAGGTTTCTCAGGGGAAAAGGAGACTAAAGATTTAAACTTCAAAAAATGGTTATTCAGATATTAATAAATGGCCTGCCTTGCTTACTTAAAAAAAAAAAAAAGGTGATCCGCACTACCATGAGAAGTTGGCAAGGCAACATGGAATTCTTTAAACTCTCTCTATATATATCCTATATCACAAGACCAAGTAACAATTTGGCTTTTACACTGCTGTTGTGTGTAGCAATACTGGTGAAATGCAATACTATAAAAAATTACTTAATTTTAATCTCTGCAAGTGTCATAGTCTGGATTTGTCACTTCATTTACCAGGAAGGCTTTAGTACTTAAAATCACAGGATTAATTACTTTCCTACTTAAAGAAATAAGTACAATTTCTTGTAAAACATCAAAATGAAAGCAAAAGCATTTGATCCAATGATACACAGACATGATTATTTCTGGAATTAGAGAGAAGGTAAACACCGAGAGGAAACGATGACACATCAAAGGACAACAAAGCAATATAAACATAAATTGACGAAGTTAGTTTTCCTGGAAATTTAAAATTCTATCTGCTTGACTCTAGACAATAAGCGAAGTGAGTCTACAGTTGCAGATGTTTGACAGTAGCACTGAAGAGGCCGGCTAAGCCTTTGAACCTTGGCAAGGAGCTAATGTGTCCACGGCACAATGACAGCCAGTCACGTGAACACCAACATACTGTCCCCCACCCCCCAACAGCTCTGCCTTCTGTTTCCAGGCTTCAGTCTTATTACCCCATCCCCTCTTTGGTCTATCTCAGTGGCAGGGACTATCTCAAAAGAACTAACCAATCACAGATATCTGCAGTACTATAGTAAATTGGCACAAGAGCATGTTTGCAAAGATCAAAGTCTGATCACTCACATTTAACTTTGTTCCCTTTCCCAAAAGGCTAACAATAACAACTAGAAATATTATCAAGAGGGAGGGGAACTGAAGGGAAATTTTTGACTGCTTCATATTCTCCGCCTCTCTGTTTCTGGAAGTACACGATTTAAGAGGAAAGAGCCTCAGAAGACATTCCATTTATCAGGTCTGATTATGGCTTTAGCTTTAGTTACACTAGATTGTCAACTGATCCCCAAGTTAACCGCAAACTCCAAACTCTATTCCTTTGCTTGTGCTATTCTAATAAAGCCTGTCTTACCTTTGACTATATGAAGGAAATTCATTCACAGTCTAGAATGAATGTCATCTGCTTTCAGGAGACACTGTAGCAGACTGTGAAGGACCTGGCATACTTCTCTCCGCCCTTCTTCCCTAGCAACAGATTCTCAGTTTTTAGCCTTATGGTTAGTATTTAAAGAGCAGCCTATGAGGAAGTATACATAGGGATCAAAGAAATATCCTGGCTAGGACTCTGCCCTCTATACCCTGATAATGCAGGCATGCTAAGTAGGCACTAACTCAGCAAATATTAAATGCCTACTTGTATTTATTATTGCTGCTGCTGTATTAATGGTATTATGGACAATATTATAATGTAGTAATATACAATATATCTGGAAATACAATAAATAGATCAATCATATGACCCAGCTATCCTGCTTCTGGGTAAGTATCCAATGGAAAGGACATCAGCATATGAAAGAGAAACCTTCATTCTCATGTGCTTTGCAACACCATTCATAATAGCCAAGCTATAGAAAACCTAAGTGTCCATGGATAAATAATGGATAAGGAAAATATGGTATACATACACAATGGAACATTAGTCAGCCATCAGAAGGAATGAAATCCTGACATTAGAGGCAAAATAACTGAAATTGGTAGTCATTACATTAAGTGAAAGAAGTGACACAGAAAGTTAACACGTGTTCTTTTTGATACATGAAAGTTAAAAACGACAGTCAATAAGAACTTAGAGCAGTGATTACTAGAGACTGGGAAGTGTGGGAGATAGAGGAGTCTGGATATGGGGTACAAGGTGCTTCATAGCACAGATGGACAACTACAGATCACAGTAACATGTTGTGTACCATATAAAGAACTGGAGGAGAGGAACTAGTAGGCTGTAAATGTGGAGGAAAGGTAGGGAGGTGGGTATGTTGGCTGCCTGCTTTGATCAGCTTATAGCATCATATCTTTTGAAATTTTGCACTGTATCCCATAAAAATGTGCTAGTATTACTTGTTAATCAAAACATTTAAAATATTTTTAATAAAATATATATTAGGACATATAATGTAGCTCTAAAAAATTACAAAGGGAAAAGAAAAATCAATAGTTACGTCCCTAAAGAAACATTAAGTGGAATAAAGATGAAGAAAACAAGAAGCAGCAAATGCTCTGACAATAAGCACTGGGTGCTTTCTACAACCCTACGGAACAGTAACCTGTATCATAGGGTTTGGATGTGACAAAAACCGATGAATTGATATGTACGCTGAGTCTTGACAGACTGGGAGAACAGGAGGTATGGCTCTTCAGACAGAATTGAACAGTGCAAAGGTCCAAGGATAAGAGAAAATGCAGGCCACAGTGGGAGCTGAGCAAGAAGGGCAGATAGGGACAGACCAGGCTAGGGCACAGTAGGCCTCGTTTTGCAAACTAAGACATCAGTACATCTTTGTGAAGGTAACGAATAACCCTTGAGAGGTTTGAGAGCTTCATCAGCTCACACTGGCTGACTCAAAAAGCAGGTACACATAAGAGGACACCAAAATTTCTACTTGGGTAAGTAGATGGACAGGGACACAGAAGTGACACAGAAGGAGGAGCCAAGATTGTTCTAGGACATGCTGAGTTGAAGTGTGTGTAAGGACATTTAGTAGTCAGCTGGCTATATGAGAACAATTTGGGCTGAAGATAAAGGTGTGAGAGTCAGGACATAGGTGATGATTTAAGTAATGATTGTGGTCACCATCCAAGTGAGAACAGTAGGAAGAGGGACAAGGACAGATCCCACAATTACTAGGATCTAAGGGTGAGAAAGAGAGAGAACAATCAAGGGGGCAGATAACAGAGATAATGAGGAGACCAGTGTACACAGCATACTAGGTCACTGTGACCTGGCATTATCCTAAACTAGTTTTCAGGTTCCTGATGTTTATGTCAGTCCTCTAGCTACTATGTTCATGCCTTTACCCCATGTGGCTGTGAGACTGTAAAACACTTGTAGCTCTGAGACACATTATCTGTTACCTGAACTTCAGTCAATCACTGGTTTGAACCCCAAAACTTGTCCTATCACTGCTTTGATAAATACTCAGGATTTTGGCTTTTATTGAGACCTTGATTTTTGGTGTTTTCATTGTTCCTATTTGTTTCTCTGTGGGACTGACTTGGTTTTATACCTGAACCTGTTATCTATAAATGCCCAGCCCTGGGAAAATACTCTGGTTATACTTTCAGGATTATATATCTAGACGTCATCTGAATCCTTAAATTCTGCCTGGAATAATAAATAAGCCTTCCTTGACATGACCTGGGATCCAAGCCCCATAGCTAAAACAAAGGTCAAAAATCCAGGTATGAAGCATCATAGGTAAGGCTTGAAATGGAAAAGCCTCTCAGAATTACCTAGAAAACAAAAAATGAACCCTACTGCAGTAGAGACCATGTCAGGACATACATGGCCACCTAAATACCTGTGATGAGAACCACTAATGCCAACTATATCTTGAGTAGGCTGATGTGCCTGGATGACAGGTCTGTATCAGTAAATCCTGAAAACACGAAACATCACATTTTAGGTTAATTACCATAAAATCTAGCAAGTATTGTTAAAAATTTCAAGAGGAATAGGAAAACTAAGTTTTTAATATAACTCCATGAATTTTTTAAAAACCAGTGCACTTACCAACATGGATGTTATCTTTAAATGCCACGTCATGGAGCTGAAATATCAGATGGCGGCTAAATTTTTCATCAGTGCTAGAATCCAAGTTGAAAACATCTTCAGCTGAGCACCTTACACTATATAAGTCCTGAAGTGCTCTACAGACATGCTAAAAACACAAAGCGTAAATACTTCTGTTTTTTGTTTTAAAAATGTTCTATGAACAAAATTCAAGTATCTTGGTACCAGTAAGTTTAACTAATACAAAATCATTACAAATTAGCTTTACTGGCCAGCGCCATGGCTCACTAGGCTAATCCTCCGCCTGCAGCGCCGGCACCCTGGATTCTAGTCCCGATCGGGGCACTGGTTTTGTCCTGGTTGCTCCTCTTCCAGTCCAGCTCTCTTCTGTGGCCCGGGAGTGCAGTGGAGGATGGCCCAAGTGCTTGGGTCCCGCATCTGCATGGGAGACCAGAAGGAAGCACCTGGCTCGTGATCAGCGCAGCACACCGGCCGTAGTGGCCATTTGGGGGGGTGAACCAAAGGAAGGAAGACCTTTCTGTCTCTCTAACTCTGCCTGTCAAAAAAAATAGTTAGCTTTACTATCAGGTTGTGTACAATATAACCTTACTAATTTATTTATAAACTGAAGACCTGTAATTTTTAAATTATGTTTATATTTTTAAAAAAATCGGGCTCTCAGGATTGAAGAGGCCTCTTAGCAGCCAAACAATTTGTACATTAACCTCCTCTACAATCACATTAAAAATATTTTAAGCGTCTCTTTAAATGTCACCTCTGAGTTTAAAAGTTTTTTTTATAGTTCCAATTCTCAGAAAATTTCTCATTCATACTGAACACAAAACCACTTCCAAGAAACCACCTTTGGTGCTAGAAGACACTGACACGGAAAGCAGTCATGCATTGTGGAAAGGCAGCAAGCACATACTTGGAACAAAAGATTTGAAGTCAGAGATCTAAGTTTGAGTTCTGGTTTTGATGTTTACCACCTCTAAGTTTAATCAAACCTAAATACATTCTTCAACTGCTAAGCAGGAAAAATAGCAGCTAACTTTGGAATCATGAAAGGAGTAAAATAAGAAAACGAGATTAAAGAGATAGCACAGTGCCTGGCACATGTAAGTGCCTAGAAGTATTGGCTATGCAACCTTAACACAAGGCACTTCTCCCTAGGCTTCAGTCTTCTCATTTGCAAAATGAAACCACTAAGAACCTCCAGATAGGGTTGAGATTAGCCAAAAGGTTTAGCACCACCAAATACTTAGATACCCAACAGTTACGCATTAAATTAGAATTATTAGCTGGGGCCGGCACTGTGGCAGAGCAGGTTAACGCCCTGGCCTGAAGCGCCGGCATCCCATACGGGGCAGAGGTTCGAGACTCAGCTGCTCCACTTCCAATCCAGCTCTCTATTATGGCCTGGGAAAGCAGTAGATGGCCCAAGACCTTGGGCCCCTGCACCCATGTGGGAGACCTGGAAGAAGCTCCTGGCTCCTGACTGGCACAGCTCCGGCCATTGTGGCCCAATGGGGAGTGAACCAATGGGTAGAAGACCTCTCTCTGCCTCTCCTCTGTGTAACTCTTTCAAATAAACAAATCTTTAAAAAAAAAATTAGCATCACTTTGGCATTATTCTAGCACCACACTCCCCTTCATACTTTTCAATTCTCATTTTCTCAAAAGGTGGCCTCAGTGTCCCAGTCTGCATCAAATTCCCCCATGTAGTCCAACTCACTTTCTAGTACTTAGTTACAATTTTACTTGTTCATTTACTTGATTGTCTTGATGTTTCCTCTGTATCACAGAGGTTATCCCCCAACATCTAATTTCTCCCTCTTCCCTAGAAACAAAACCACAATTTTTAGCTAAATGGAGGCCAGCTAGAACAAAGATACTTCCCCCACTCTGTTATAATAGGGCACAGGCATGTGTCCAAGTCTTGCCAGTAGGGGGTCAGACGAAGGTGGTTTGCCACTTTAGGCTTCATTCTTAAAGGGGAGAAGTAGGTGCAGCTCTTCTCCATTCAACTGACTAGAAGGCAGACAACTTGGGGTGAGCCACCTTGGACGGTATCAATAAGGCAACATCTTAGGAACAGCAAAGCAAAAGACTAGTCCCTAACAGTGGAGCCACACTGGATGTTACATGAGACAGAAATAAGGTTGTATCTTGTTTAAATTACATCTACCCTAGATTAGATTATAAATTCCTTGAACTCAAACTTTGAGCTCACTATTGTATTCCCATGGCAAGGCACTGTGTCTGATGCTTAGCAAAACTTGAAAATATTTTACTAAATGAATAAAGCTGAGTTGTTAGCTTTGGAACTACAGAGAATAAATTTAGGTACCCTAGGTAATATAAGTAATCACACTCTATTAGATTCTCTTTCCCAAGTGAAACTTTAAGCAAACATTTTTTTTTTCCAGAGTTACAGAGAGGTAGAGCCAGATTGAGAGAAGTCTTCCATCTGCTGGTTCACTCCCGAGATGACCACAGCAGCCAGAGCTGAACTGATCTGAATCCAGAGAGCCAGGAGCTGCTTCTGGGTCTCCCACGCGGATGCAAGGGGCAAGGACTTGGGCCATCTTCTACTGCTTTTCCAGGCCATAGCAGAGAGCTGGATTGGATGTGCAGCAGCCGGGACTCGAACCAGCACCCACATGGGATGCTGGCACTTTGGGCCAGGGCTTTAACCTCTTGTGTCACACTGCTGACCCCTACATAAACATTTAAGTTCTTTAAATGTAAACATAAAATCATTGTGGAAAATAGCATGGAGGTTCCTCAAAGCACTAAAAATAGAACTACCATGTGACCCAGGAATCCCTCTTCTGGGCATATATCTAAGAGAAATGAAATCGATCTGCCAAAGAGCTAACTGCATGCCCGTGTTTATTGCAGCACTACTCACAATAGCCAGGTGTCCATCAGCTAATGAATGGATAAAGATGTGGGGTATATATCACTATTACTCAACTATAAAAAAAAAAAAGTCTTGTCATTTCCAACAATGTGGATGCAAGTGGAGGTCAGTATGTTAAGTGAAATAAGCCAAGCACAGAAAAACAAGTACCATATGATCTCATTCATATGTGGACTCAAAAAATTAGGTGATCTCACAGAAGTTAAAAATATAATTGTGGTTACAGAGGCTAGAGTAGGAAGTGACAAGGGAGGGATGGGCAAAGGTTGATTGATGGGTACCAGGCTATAGCTAGATAGGAATAAGAAATTCTGGGGTTCTATTACACAGTGGGCTGAAGATAATATTATTTGACTGTATACTTCTCTATTTAAAAAAGCAGAAGATGGGATTTTTCCATGTTTTCATGGGAAAGAAATGCTAATGCTGGAAAAGATAACTCCCCTGACTGGACATTATACACCATATACATCACGGAACACACACAGTACCCCATAAACATGTACACATGTCTATGCCTTTAACTTTTTAAAAAAACTTTATAAAGAAAATTGTTATTTGAATAATTTATAGAATCCAGAAGTTAAAAATGTGTGATTTCTTTAAGAATGTTATCTGGGCCAGCGCCGCGGCTCACTAGGCTAATCCTCCGCCTTGCGGCGCCGGCACACCAGGTTCTAGACCCGGTCGGGGCGCCGGATTCTGTCCCGGTTGCCCCTCTTCCAGGCCAGCTCTCTGCTGTGGCCAGGGAGTGCAGTGGAGGATGGCCCAAGTGCTTGGGCCCTGCACCCCATGGGAGACCAGGAGAAGTACCTGGCTCCTGCCATCAGATCAGCACAGTGCGCCGGCTGCAGCGCGCCGGCCGCAGCGGCCATTGGAGGGTGAACCAACGGCAAAAGGAAGACCTTTCTCTCTCTCTCACTGTCCACTCTGCCTGTCAAAAAATAAAAAAAATAAAATAAAATAAAATAAAATAAAATAAAATAAAAGAATGTTATCTGTTGAAAGGCTTTATAAAATGCATTAGATGGGACCAACGCTGTGGCATAGTGGTAGCTGGTATAGTGGCACTGGTTCGAGTCCCGGCTGCACCACTTCCAATCCAGCTGTCTGCTATGGCCTGGGAAAGCAGAAGGTGGCCCCTTGGGTTCCTGCACCCGCTTGGGAGACCCAGAAGCTCCAGGCTCCTGGCTTCAGATCAGCTTAGCTCCAGCCAGTGCGGCCATTTGGGGAGTGGATGAAGACCTCCCCTCTCCACTCTCTCTCTCTCCTTGCCCCTCTCACTCTGCCTTTCAAAATAAATGAATTTTTTAAAAAAGCGTTAGCACTGGAATTCATTCTAATTAGCTGACTTATGGAAACTTGTCCGTTAAGTCACTGAATCAAAGGATATTACGTATTATGACTAGTTACTATTAACCAGTTATTTATAAACCACCTGTTAAGAGTTAACCTAATTTATGCATATTCATACAGACATGTAAAAGATATAGTACTTACTGGATTATAAACTTGTTACATAAAAAATAAAAATAATTTCAAATATACTCATATACAAAGGCACTATATTAAAATATTCCTAATAAGAACTGTTCTACCAACATGCTAAACAAGTTAAATAAAAATGCTAAATTTATATTAAATAAATTTTTAACTTAATTCCTTTTTCCCCAGCTTTTGCTGATAGATTAGTTGTCCAAGACTAAGGCATCATAAAGAATTCAGGAAAAAAAGTTGAAGAACTTGCATGATGTTTGCCACATGTGTTTAATCTATGTAAAAATGGTGTTTGTTAGTGTTGATATTATTATGGGAATTCCTAGTTTCTCAGACCATATAGTACTTATTTATTACTGGCATAACCATAGTTAAGTGCCAATGAAAAGTCTCTGAATTATAATTCCCCATAGGACACATAGAACATACACAATAGACCCTATTTTGCACGGTAAACGCACCTCAGACAACATTAACAAGTCAATATTTACAGATTACTGAAAATATAACATTTAACACAATTTACTATTTCAAGGAAAATGGCTTTTTGGGGGTGGAGGTTTTATGTCTATTTTGCCTACTTCAAAGATACGAAAATCTAACATATTTAAAGGTATTTGCTTACATTTTTCAAATAAATGTAGTCAAACATGCAGAGGTCTAACAAAATCAGATACACTTAAATCTGTATACATCTCAAAAAGTTATAAAATGGCTCACCTACAAAATTATTATTCAGTTAACAATTTAAAACAATGTTAGTACCTACTTAGAGGCCAATAGTCAATCCTTTTTATTTAAAGATTTAGATTTATTTTATTTGAAAGTCAGAGTTACACAGAGAGGCAGAGAGAGAGGGAGAGGTCTTCCATCCACTGGTGGTTCACTCCTCAGATGACTGCAACAGCTGGAGCTGCACCAATACAAAGCCAGGAGCCAGGAGCTTCCTCCAGTCTCCAATGCTGGTGCAGGGGCCCAAGGATTTGGGTCATCTTCTACTGCTTTCCCAGGCCACAGCAGAGAGCTGGATGGGAAGTAGAGCAGCCGGGACCCGAACCAGCACCCACATGGGATGCCAACACTGCACGTGGCAGCTTTACCTGCTACGCCACAGTGCCTGCCCCATCTACACATTTTTAATACGACTTCATAGAATATAATCTTTAAATTTTTAAAAAATAATCCTAATAGAACTTAGCTGTTCAAACCCACATTATCCTTTTTAGTAACTTCCTGTTTGACGCAGCTCAACTAAAAATACTAGAACTACATTCTTTTTCTGAAAGTTGCTAACAGTGACAATGGTATTTCTAGACAAGGTTTTGTAAACAACTAGCTGCAGAGCACTGGGTAGGAGTCTCTTCTAGGTCTTTCCTCTTTCATGAAGGTACAAGAAAAAAATGCTTTCCAGAATTCCTGCCAGTTCAAACATTGATACTACTTTTAGTCCAAGATTCCTTTAAGTTCATTTCAGTATCAATTTTTATAGTACAATTACTTTACCTGGTCTTTACCAGCATTGGCTATTTGTGATGGAGATTAGAGAATTAACATGTAACTGCAAACCGCAGATAATCCCAAAATTTCTATCTTTATAAGGCTAAAAGAAAAATTTACTTGAGAGGCAGAGTTAAACAGAGAGGGACAGAGAGAGGTCTTTCATCTACTGGTTCACTCCCCGAATGGCCGAAACAGCTGGAGCTGGGCTGATCTGAAGCCAGGAGCTTCTTCCGTGTCTCTCACACAGTGCAGGGCCCACACACTTGGGCCATCTTTTACTGCTTTCCCAGGCTATCAGCAGGGAGCTGGATCAGAAGCAGAGCAGCCGGGACTTGAACCGGCAACCATATGAGATGCTGGTGCCACAGGCAGATGCTTAAACTACTACACCACAGCGCCAGCCCCTCAAGGCTTTTTTTTAAATCCAGGTATAGTAATAGTACAAAATATGTGGACATAAGTTGGACTTTTCACAGTTTACCAAGAAGTAATATTTAAAAATCAAATCCACAAGGAAAAGTCACAAGAAAAGGAGGAGAAACGTTACGTAGATAGGACTAAGTAACTGAATGAAGAGATGAATGGACAGCTACAAAGAAAAAAAATTTGAGTCTCCCATTTACCTCAATGAGTAATGCAACCATCTTTTTCCCGTCAGCTCCTGGATTGGCAGGTTTGTTAAATTCCAAATCAAAATAAAGCTTGCACACAGCATTTTCAGGAATAACTTCATAGCAGTGCAAGAGATTTTTTCTAAATTGAATAATTCAAAAGTATTATTTATATTTGTACCTTTTAAATGATGGAAGTTGATCTCATCAAGTACTGTGTTAACTATGCTTAAGTACAGGTAACTAGGAAATAATGACAAGATAACATGAACCTGTTCACAACAGGTTTCCGGCTCATAGCGTCAACAATTTCTATTAAATAAGATTTAACAGTCATACTCAGTTAACATTACTTAACTGGAAAACAGTCAATCCTATAGTGTTATTCATTACACAGATGATTTTGATCATGTATAATATTTCTGTATTTTGTTTTGGTGTCACTATGAAATAAATTGAGAAAACAATGTTCTTTCTCAAACCGGGATCCCAGACAGACACACTCTTGGGATTCCATGAATTCTCCATAAGAACTGTAAAATTTTATGTTAGGAAGATAATATTTTTAAAGTGGTAAAAAATTCTAAATTAGCTGATTTCAATAAACTTCCAGTGCTCATATTTCTAGTTCTATTCTTGTTGGTGTACAGAGGATGACTTTCACATGGCTTATTAAGAATAGACACTAGCCTAGTAAATAAATGATATGTGGGCTAAGTCAAGTTCAGCTGGCCTCCTTTACAGATAAAAGGTTTGCAGTAATTTGAAGAAAAGTGAAAGAATTGTATCATCACATGGCATGGGTAGGATTGGATCTCAACACATACTCTGAAGCAGTCAGCATCATCTTTATGTTGCACGAAGAGATTTAGTTTCAGCAAAATATCTTTCATGTTATCTTAATGATTTTAATTCAACTCCACCTGGCACTGCATGTATGTAGACATAAGTAAATCTACATGGTGTTGCATGTTTACAAACACAAAACTACTCAAGCAACTTTGTAATAAAAGTACTTTTAAGTCAATACAAGGCATCCATATTGACTCTTTTCCATACACAAGTCTGAAGCATAGTTGAATAGGCCACTCAGATAAAGCAGGTATTACATAATGTGAGTATTCATTTATGATTAATAGTACAATTTAATATGTATCTGAAAAAGGATTTCCTTTATACATGAACAGGTGTTTGTACGATTTTCTTCAACACTTGGTGAGACAACTGCGTGATGCCATGAGAAGGAACTGCGGAGATTAATTCTGACAGAAATAACTAACCATGTAGTCAAGAACTGTGAAAGCTAATCCAGACTCAATTTCACAAAAATTTCTAGATTTGGTAAATATAACTTTAATGTGTTGTTCTGTTACAAACAACTTACCGGGATTTATAGTAAAACCAAAGCTGAGCATAGGTTGTTACAAGATAAATACGTTGTCCATCTCCCATTTTGTATTCCAAAGCAAATACATGAACATCCTATATAAAATAAAAAATATTCTAAAAAGTAAAAAAAACATCTAAATTCAACTGTAGCTACTTAATGTTCATAAAGAATTTTATTCAATTTTCAGATTTTTTAAAATACCAGGTTCTGAAACAGAAGTTCAAAAATTGATTTATTTGAAAGGCAAAGTTATAGACTGAGATCTTCCATCCACTGGTTCACTCCCCAAATGCCTGCAAACTCAAGTTTAAGAAATCTTAAAGATCTATAAAAAATTTAAAATGAGGCAATTACCTGTTTACAGCTTTTAACGAAATTAAAAGCTTCAGTTTGACGACGAAATAGCTTCCAAATGGAGGGTGGTTGCTCTGGCCTGGACAGGCTTGGTCTATACACTGAGCACAGTGGTTTCCTCTTGTAATGAGATGCTCGCTCCTCAATCTGCTTCAGTTTTTCTTCCCACTTTCTATTCATTGGTTCAGAAGGCAAGAACAATTCCTACACCATGTGATCTTTCTATCGATTACTGCTAAAAGCAAAAAGACTATTAGTTTCTTTATTTAGAATTTTTGTTTGATTAGATTTCAAAACTCATTTCCTGGCACTTATTTTCTTGTGGGCTTTATATTTTATTCTTTGGATGGAGGGTTTTTTGTTTTGTTTGGTTTTTTTTATTTTTTGACAGGCAGAGTGGACAGTGAGACAGAGAGACAGAGAGAAAGGTCTTCCTTTTGCCATTGGTTCATCCTCCAATGGCCGCCACGGCTGGCGCGCTGCGGCCGGCGCACTGCGCTGATCTGAAGCCAGGAGCCAGGTGCTTCTTGGATGGAGTTTTACAAGCAGAAAAGTTGTTTATCAGAAATCTTTAAATTCTGGCTTTTCCATCAAACAGTACCGTGACCTTGGACAACATAATAAAACTTCCTGAATCTTAGTTTAACCAAGTGCAAAATGAGAATCAACGTCATCTTCAATACTTTATAAATTTCCTATGAGAATGTGATAAAAATGTCACAAATTACAAAGCCTCATGTATACGTAAGTGCTTTTTGTACCATTATAGTTTTTATTGTAACTATTGTATTCCATCAAGTGCTAACTACCTGGCTCAGCTTGTGCTGCTACCTTTGCTACTGCTCTTGTATTATTTCTTAATGCAGAGTTCATGAATAGATACCAACATGCATTTTTTATTTTTCTTTTCCACTATTTTTGTCCATTTCTCTTCTTCTCTCCCAAAATAACTTTTATTTGGGAAAACAGGTGTAATGAAAGAATTACAATATGGCTAGTTTGGGGTGTCTATAGTAATGGCTGAATTTTGCTTCCATATGATACTTATATGCTAGCCAGGCCAATGTAAGGGAACCAGGCAACATTTTTCCCGACTTATCTACAAAGGAAAAAGGACAATGTATTTTAGAACAGGAAGAAAACTTCCACTGTAAATTTAAAAACAGCCACAAAACACTGCTGGTTTTCCCCAATAAGAGATGCCATCTAAGCTTGCTCTCACACTGACTTGCTTTGTCCAACGTCACACTGACAGATATGAAGCAAGCAGAGGTTTAGTAAGTGACTGCATCAGCTTTGACTATCCGGGAGTCTTACCCTGAAACTGTCATGCTATAATTCTAATCTCATAGAAGATGAAAAGCAATATGGAGTAGAACCAAGAATCCCAGCCAATAGCCACAACTATCAAATATGTCAGTTAAATCAGTGTGGATGATCCATCATTTGAACAGGATGCATGAGTCAACTCCAGGAGAGACCCACAGAATTGCCTAGCCAATCCACAGAACTGTAACAAAAATGTAGCTTTTTTTAAACCATTAAGTTTGGGAATGATCTTTATAAAGAAATAGTATTTGAGAGTTTCTCTTCATTAACATCTATCATAATTTACTTGTGTAAAAAACATCAGGTGTTTTAAAGGGAAATACATAATAAAGCATTTAAGAGTGAATTTCTATTTACCTTTGGCAATGCCTTTCTGTTTAGCAAGTTGATAAACATTACCTTGAATTTTAGCAGAAAATTTTGCAGCAACAGAAGTTCACTGGCAAATGATATGGTCCCTAAAAGGAAAAATAGAATCCCCTTGAAAGGTTCAGAAAGGAGAGCAGTATCAGACCTTAGAATAAAAGGCTTAAGATTCAGATTTCAAATCTGACATCTACCATAACAGACCCAAGATTATTCTTAGTTATACCTAATCCATATGAAAATTATAAGCCAAGAAACAAATTCTAAAGGCACTGATTTAAAGTTCCTAACAGGTATGCCTCAGAAAGGAGTATCATTTCACTGGATTGAGGAGATGGGCAATTTGTTATCAAGAAACTGCTTTAACTTGTCAATGGTTCCTTTTCATAAAATAGAATCTGAATGTTCAGTTACTCCAATTCACATATGGATAAAATACCACTGTATTTAGATAAAGCTAATTGAGAAGTTGACTTTCTTTGAAATTTACTAGTTTTCATACAAATCTGATTACTCAGTGAAGAAAGTAAGGACTGGATGTGATCATACCTCAATCTAATAGGATCTAACCAACAACTATGAGCAACCAAGTAGATGTTCACACCAAGACACTGAAATCTTACTAAGAAAAAAAAAATTAAGATGTATTTATTTATTTGAAAGCTAGAGTTACAGAGAGAGGGGGAGAGGCAGAGACCTTCCATTCACTGCTCCACTCCCCAAACGGCCACAATGGCTGGGGCTGGGCCTAACAGAAGCCAGGAGCTTCACCCAGGTCTCCCATGTTGGTAACAGAGGCTCCTAACATTTGAGCCGCCTTCCACTGCTTTCCCCAGGCACATAGGCAGGGAGCTGGATTGAAGTGGGCCAGCTGGGACTCAAACAGGCACTCATATAGGATGGCAGCATCACAGGCACTGGCTTTAACCCACTATGTCACAACACCAGCCCATTACCAGGAAAAATTGTTGATTTTGTAGAAATCTTTGTATGACCACGCAAATGTGTCAAATGTTGAAGTCCTGAAGTCACAATGGAAAACCAGTTTGACTCACTGGACTGGGGAAACCATAAGCATCAACACAGATATAAAGAAAATGAGTTCTTTGTCCTTTGTGCAGCAAAAATTTTAACAGCTGGGGTGAGGATCAGAAGACAACTGGGACTTGAGCTATTCACATAGGAGGTTTGAATGACAGAAGCAAAGGAAATGGAGAACAGGAAGGCATCTGGCATTCTGATTTGGCACTATCATATTCCTCATCCCCACCCTCCGGGAGCCTCTCACCATGTTAGCAATGCTTTTAATTCCTGGTGGAGAAAGAGTGCTGTCTTTCCTTTGTATGATTATACATCCTAGTTCCTATTCACCAGGGACCATAACTATTTTTGTTAAGTTTGCAACATCCAAAGGGAAATATATTTTTTAAAAGTAGGCTTAAAGAGCTCTATTATTTCTTAACATTATTTAACCATGTTGGTTACAGATTTTACAACTAAAGGTGGTCTAAGAAAAACAGCTGCTCAGTGTTCTTAGAGTACTAGTGCAGAAAGGGGCACAGGTGATGAAGTGGAGCCCTGGTTGCCCGAGGTTAATGCCCAGACTTGCCCAGCTGGGACCTTCTACGGTCTGGTTCTCAGAAGCAGCTGGACTAGGGGTGTGTGCTTTCTATCACTGGCTTCCAGGAAGACTGAAACCCACCTGGCCACGGTTCCCCCAGCCCAGTTCTTCCAGTTCCTTGTTCTCGTTTGTTTACTCCTAAGTTCTTCTCTATCCCCCAACTCCAACTTCTCCCTCTATTTAAGATCAGATTCAACAGTATTTTGTGTGTTCTGGTATTATTACAGTTCTATTATTTATTAACATTCTGATATTTGAAAGTTTTATTGATTTAAGTATGACTTATAGTGTTGCTTCAACTGCCATCATATTCATAAGGAATATGTCATTGAAATTTTCCAGGATGGCGTTGGGGTGCTACCTGTAACACTGGCATCCCATATGAGGGCTGATTCGAGTTGTGGCTGCTCCACTTCTGATCCAGCTCCCTGCTAATGTGCCAGGGAAAGCAGAGGAAGATGCCCCAGGTGCTTGGGCCCCTGCCACTCATATGAGATACCCAGATGGAGTTCCAGGCTCCCAGCTTCAGCCTGGTCCAGCCCGACTGCTGCAGCCACTTGGAGTTACCAGCGAAATGAAAGGTATCTCTTCCCCTCTTTCCCTCCTACTCCCCCTCCCCCTCTAACTCTGAATTTTAAATACGATCTTTTAAAATATTAAATTTTCTTTGGAGCAAGTGTTGTGGCACAGTGGATGTCACCCATATCCCATACTGACGTGCAGGATCAAGACCCAGGTACTCCACTATCCAGCTGCCTGCCAATACACCTGGGTAGAAGCAGATAATGACTCAAGTTCTTGAGCTCCTACTACCCACATGGGATACTCAGATGGACTTCCTGTCACCTGCCTGGCACGGGCCTGCCTGTTATAGCTATTTGGGGGGTGAACCAGTGGATTATGATCTCACTCTGTTACTCTGCCTTTCATATAAATACTGTTAAAAATTAATTCCATAATGAACTTACAGTAATTTTAATTGTATGTTTACTTCTGGATAAATTAGAGGGGCTGGTGCTGTGGTGCAGTGGGTTAATCCTCCATCTGCAGTGCTGGTATCCCATTTGGGCACTGGTTCTAGTCCCAGCTGTTCCTCTTCCAATCCAGCTCTCTGCTAAGGCCTGGGAAAGCAGTACAAGATGGCCCAAGTCCTTGGGCCCCTGCATCTGCGTGAGAGACCCGGAGGAAGCTCCTGGCTTCGAATCGGTGCAGCTCTGGCCATTGCGGTCATCTGGGGAGTGAACCAGTGGAAAGACGACCTCTCTGTCTCCGCCTCTCTGTAACTCTACTTCTCAAATAAATAAAATCTTTAAAAAAAATTAGAATGACAGAATTTTTTCTTTCTTAGCCTTTATGCCTACATAGATGTAACATATCTAAACTCCTCAAAAACGTCTCGTAAGGGTTAAGAAAGCACACAGGGATGTATTGTTCTTATCCGGTTACTCTTCCCTATAATCTGCACAGGAGCTTTCATCTAAACAGCACAAATGCCCAACTAATCATCCTTACAGCCTGCCCTAACCTCTCACAGGGATACCCACTCCTACTCCATGGCATCACTCAAGTCCTCGGAGTACACCCCGTGAAGACTAAACCCCTCCAGGACCAGGTCCTAAAGCAGCTTGTACTTCTGTCCTGTTTCCACCGAATCAGCGACAGTGCCCACTCGCTGCTCCTGGGCCGGTCCAGAAGCCCTCCTGCACCCGGAACGCCCCGCGCGGCCTTTCTCCTCCCCTTCAAGGTCGGGCTCACGTTCTGCCATGCCTGTAGAGGAGCGGCTGCTGTCAGCCAGCAGTCATTCCGCCAGCCCGTCTCACTGTAACTTTCTGCAGGCTAAGTAAACTAAAACAACTCCCAGGAAGACAGCAGACAGCTGGCGCCCATTTACCAGAAGCATCATTCTGTTACGGGTGGGGGGCGGGGGCTCATTCAACCACACCTGCCCCTGCACCTGCCCCCCAGTGGAATCCCCGCCCGCCACAGCGCTCAGCTCCGCGGCAGGCACTCCTCGCCCTGACCCCAGCAGGGAGTCAAAAGCCCAATTTAGGCCGGAGTTTAACTCCCGCGACTCTCCCCTTGGCCTAAGGAAACGGCTCCACCTTTTTAAGTCCTGGTGGGGACTGGAACTCTTCAAGCGCCTGTCGCAGCGATACAGTAAGAAAATGGGATGGGGGGGGCACATATTTCTGCGCCTCAAAGACAGGCCCTGACTGTAGCCCTGACAAATGGCTGATCTGTGCTTGGCATATCACAGAGCTGTCGGAATCCGCCGCAGAATTTGCGCTCAGGTGTGTTGGTATATCCTCCCGTGAAAACGCGTCACAGTTTGCATGCAACTCTGAACCGAGCCCCGGACCCAAAGGAGGCCGCGCGCGCCCCAGGAGGGCAGGCAAGGCGTCCGATTTAGGGGCCCAGGAATCCAAGGCCGGGTCTCGGGGCATCTGAGGGAAGCAGAGATTACCAGCGCGCGTTCCGGAGCTCGGAGCGGGAGGCACCCCCGGCCTTGTCGGCTTTCTCTGTCCGTTTCTGGGCCGGGCGCGGCCTGCGAGTCTCCGGCGGCTTCTCTCCGACGCTCCCAAACGCGGGAGGAAGCCCGGGGTCCGCAGCTGAGCGCGGCAGCCGGACTTCAAACGCGGCGCGGAGGCGGGGCCAAGGCGCGGGGCGGGGAGGCGGGGCGGCCGCGGCGCGGAGGCGGGGCCACGGCGCGGGACCGGGCGGCCGCGGCGGGGAGGCGGGGCGCGGGGCGGCCGCGGCGCGGAGGCGGGGCCAAGGCGCGGCGCGGAGGCGGGGCCAAGGCGCGGGGCGGGGCGGCCGCGGCGGGGAGGCGGGGCGCGCCGAGCCTGGCCCCGGGCTGCGTTCGGAGCGGCGCGGGGCGGGGCGTGCCTGCGAGAGGAGGAGGTGCACGAGCTGAGGGGCGGGGCGGGGCAGAGGGGGCGGGGCCAGCTGCCGAGCTCACCTCCAGCTTCGGCAGACGGCGGAAGCTGTGTAGACGTGGAGCGAGGCAGGTGCTGCTGGTTGTGTGGAGACTGTGGTGAGTGCAGCCCTCGCCCGCTCTCCCCAAGGCGCCACCTGTCCTGGGCCCACTCCCTCCGCCCTCCCACACCCTGCGCCCGCCTCCGGGACGCGGCCCGGTCTGCAGCTGCTGCGGGGAGCCGGGAAGGATGGGCACGGTCTGGCAGGCGGGTCCTTTGTTTTGCTGCGGCGGCGGTTGCAGGGGAGCGTTGGGCAGGGAGCCAAGACCCAGAGAGGGGAGGCCGGGCAGCGGGAGCCCAGCGGGCGGAGACCCCCGCCGGCCCAGGGGCGGGTGAGGGAGGGCCAGGAGGGAGGATGGGGCAGGCGGCCGGATCCGGGAGCCAGAACCCGGTCCCGCGCCAGGAGGAGAGTGCTGGAAGCCGGGCGGCCAGGCTGGGGCACTGGGACCCTAGAGCAGGAGGCCCGGCCGGGAAGGGTGGGAAGCGGGGACTGCAGGCCGAGGGGTGGATCGCGAAGGGAGGAGGTGCGGGTCAAGGGTGCCCCGAGGGCTGGAGGCGAGCGGTGCAGACTGTGAGGCGCTTCCCTCAGGGCTGTGCCTCCTGCTACTGGGGCGAGGGCTTGGCCTCTGCTGCCTTCTGGGTCCGGGGGCCTAGCTTTTCTCGGATTGACTGTGTGGTTTAGTTCTTACAGAAAGCTCGCTTCAAGCCTTAAACGCCAGTGCCTTTCACAGCTGAAGGCTTTTCCTGAATCCTTCCGACTCATGCCTTTAGCCATGTGGTCCTGTTCTGAAACCCCTCGGCCATGCTCAGACCACAGTTGTCGGTGGGTCTGCTCTCGGCACATGGCTCCCACCCAGGAAGCCAGCAGCAGCGCCCGCAGCCAGCGCTCTCGCCCACCCCGCTCCTTCCCCGTTAGTCACTAAGCTTCTCCAGCCTCCTATGCCCTCCGGATCGGTCCGGGGTCTGCTCTGCTTGCAGCCACCCTAGGCTCTCACTCCGGCCTCTCTCGCCCCTCTCCGGTCCATGGTCTACAGCACGGGCTGAAGGTCCTTGGAAAGTGAAAATCTAGAAAGGGCAGGTTGAGTCCTCAGTACCTTCCTGGGTCCTACCTCTTACCTAGTACCTTTCACTTTCACTGACCTTCCTACCTAGTCATCAGAATCCTGCATTCCCGCTCTGACACATCCAATTTGCTTATGGGTAGGAATCCTACTTAAGTTCTGTTCTCATTAAACGGCTCAAAGGAAGACTTCCTATTATACCTTCCTTTCACACCTGGCATTTCCTAACAGGGATGTGTCATACCCCCATCAGCGGCTTGTTTTCTCTTCCCTAGGAGATTGTGAGCAAACTCCATGAGGGACTGACTTTATGGATCACGGTCTTCCTTATTGTCATTCACCATATCCAAGGCGGGGCACGAGTTGAGCGCCTGCTCATACACTTGTGTTTTCACTAGAGCCTTATGCTTCTTCAGTAATTTGGCCCTATCTAGAAAATGTAGATGTTTTAGGATTACTTAGCAAATTATGATCAAAGCCCGTGCATTAGAAAAGAATGGCAGAGGTGAAAGGAGTATGGAGTCACTGTTACATGAATATACCAGATGGCAGAGGAGATGCTAAGATGGTTAGACAGCCTGTTGTCAAGATGTGCTCGGCCGCTTTGTACTGCGGTTACGTGATCTCTAACCATGAAATATAAAGCTTGAATCATCCTATCAGAACCCTACGCTGAACTTTAGTTTTGCTTTCCTCTTCTGCAGAAGAGTGCTTCTGAAAGTGAGAATGAGTTTTAATGAATGAATGGCCCAATTTATTTTAGTGTGGCAATAAAACCTGTTCAAAGTAAAAGAAATGAAACACTGTACCTAGTTAAATCAGATTTGCTTTTGCTACCTTGAAAAAAGGCCTTGCCTCTTTCCACTTAAAGAGACTGGCGTCTTATCTGATATAGGCAATTACAATGCTTTTTTGCTTTCAAACCTGATTTAGCGCAGTGTCCTATTGCCTTATCTCCCTTGGAAAGTTAAGAGCAGTCTGTATTTCCAGGAATGATATTACGTTGATTCTGGTGTTTAGTACTAGTTCTTTAAGCTCTGCCTCAAAGATAGGAAGCACTGGTGCTTGGGCCTTAAAAGAAAAAAAAAAAGTGGGAATTCTTAGATTCTTAAATATTGTTTTGTACACATTTTTAAAACATATACAAATATATGAGAGGAAAAAGGCTACCCTGTTGTCAGCCTACACAATGTCCCAAAGGCAATGTTTACTAAGTTTTCCCTAAGTTAGGCAAAACATACATATGTTACAAGCTTGTGAAGATCAAGTGATGTCTGTGAGAATGTTTTTAAATGCCACATTCTGTACACTGTCGGTTATTCCTCTGCATGCCATGTGCTCGCCTTCCAGTATTGCCTGTAGAGCTTCTGTATTACGATGGAGTAAGATGAGGCCACCTGACATGTAATGAGCCCGCTCTGGCATCTGCCTGCTTAAGCCACGTTTGAGGGCCAGTGAAGACTGTTAGAAACCCTGCGCAGGGATGGGGTCTTGGTCTCTTCCATCGCCTCAGCACTCAGGCATGCAGTACTCCGTCCACAGCCGAGTTCCGGAAGGAATTACAGTGCAGGTGTCAAATGAGTAAGTGGTTCTGACTGCCTTTGGCAGCTTCAGACCTTCCCTGGCAGGCAGAGTTTCTTGTTGTTTTGTTTTGTTTTGTTTAATTCATTTGAGAGGTGGCATTACAGACAGAAGGAGAGACAGAGAGAAAGGTCTTCCATTCACTGGTTCATTCCCCAAATGGCCACATGGCCAGAGCTGAGCCGATCTGAAGCCAGGAGCCAGGAGCTTCCTCTGGGTGCACAGCCCAAGCACTTGGGCCATCTTCCACTGCTTTTCCAGGTCTTGGCAGGGAGCTGGATCAGAAGTGGAGCGGCCAGGGCTCAAACTGGCACCCATATGGGATGTCGGCACCACGGGCGGAGGCCAACTTACTTTGCCACAGCGCCGGCCCCTAGGGTTTCTTTAAGTGATTTTAAACCTGAATCTGAGTCTACAAAGCAGCAGGAGTGCGGAGGTATCGGAGGTTGTGTGTCATTTTCGTAAAAAGCACCCACAATGCTCCATTCTTTATGCATTTCATACAAACTATTTAGAGCTACAAAGGCTTCCCATTTCCTCCCTTTCGCACTTCATTTGGGAGAGCAGACCTCGTGCACACAGTAAGTACTGTGTTCTTTCTGACTTTCGCCACAAAGTCTGAGGCACTGACCAGCGGGGAGCACAGCAGTCTGTCTTCCTAGCTGAGTGGCCCACGCCAGAGAAAAGGCCTCATTTGATCATATGGTACTGCTGAGTTCACTTGATTCAGTATTTAATTCTACTTTCCCATTTGCATGGTTTGCCTTAATTACCTACTAAATATCAACAGATTGACTTCATCAGGCCCAACGACAGTCACCAGTTTGATAATTTTTACACATCCAAAGAATTTCAGAGACCAGATGGGACAAGATTTCCATAAGACCTCAGGTACTTTAAGGCTGAAACCTTTTCCTGTCCACACTACTGTGAAACAAATGTTCTTTTTGTTTCACTTACTGAATCTAGAAATGGGACTGCTTTTGAGACTTTGCCCTTTCTGATAGGTCATAAATATACTCCTGATATTTTTCAAATTGTTTGATAGAAGCCATAAATGGAAGTCTTCATCTTTGCTTTCTAAGCAAATGGAGGTACAGAGAATGTGCCCTAATGATGCATACTGAATGCTTAACAAGAAGCCAGTTATACTCTTGCACTGCAGAACAATATATCCATCAACAAGGGACCTGGATACCATGTGTTCTTCTAAGACTGCAGTGCAGCTGAAACATTCCTGTCACCTACTGATATGGTAGTCCTGGTTAATACAGTGCAAAGCATTTCTTGCATGTTCGTGGTAATGCAGGTGTAAGCAAACCTACTGCATCACTAGTCACATAAAAGTATGTGTGTAGCAGGTATTCAGCCTAGCAGGTAAGACCGCCACACCCACACTGTAGTGCCAGAGTTTGATTCCAGGCTCTGACTCCTGACTCCAGCTTCCTGCTAATTTAGATCCTGGGATGCAGTGGTGATGGATCAGGTAATTGTGTTCCAGGCTCCCTCCTTCAGCCTCTGGCCCAGCCTCAGCTTTTGTGGGAATTTGGGAAGTGAACCAACAAATGAGAGCACTTTCAATTTTTTTTAAAGTTATATGAGTATAGTACATGTAGTTATATACAGTCTCTAATACTCGATAATGATCAAAATATTGTTGCTGGGTTGTGTATTTACCACACTCTGCTATATATCATCCTAGAATGTATTTCCACTTTGTATAATAAAAGTTTATTGCAAAACAGTGCATTGTGATGTTCACACAGTGACAAAAATCACATAATGATACATTTTTCATAACATGTCCCTGTCATTTAATCATTTCAAATGCAGAGGAGAGAGATCTGTCATCTGCTGGTTCAGTTCACAAATGCTTGCAACAGTCAGCGTTTGGCCAAGCCAAAGCCAGAGCTGGAACTCAGTTTTGGTCTCCCATGTGGATGAAGAGGACCTAAGTACTTGCACCATTGCCTGCTGCCTCCCAGGGTGCACATTAGCAAAAAAGCTGGAATCAGAAGCAGAGTGGACTTGAACCCA